GATAACTATTTCTCTCTATCTCTCTTAGCGCTCGTATTATTCGAAATATTTTCTCGTTTTTTGCTTTTATTTGGGAGTAAACGTGATCAAATGAGAATATTCATATGGGAAGAAGAAAAATGTTGCAATCAATTATCATTAAAAAAAATTTATTGATTTTTTTATTGACTCAAAAGTGAAATTCTATTTTTATTCTTACAGGATCAGGAAGTCAAATGAATACAAAATTGAAATTATATATTTTCAATCAAATGTCACCATATATTCTACTGGGTGAGCGAAGCAGTCTTAGCACCAACAGAAGAAAAAGAAAAAATTCAATAAGAGGTTTTTGAATGGTATTGACTACCTAAGGTCCATTTTGAGCATAATTTTCATAGGTTTCTATTTTACCATCAGATCACTGCCTACAAACATATCCCTATTAGAAATCAAAAGAATACAATTCTCAATACAATATCCTTCTCCAATGGAACAGTTTGGCTTTCTTCCCAGCGAGCACAAAAACATCTCAGAGATGTTAAAAGTACGAGATTTCGAGACATTGAACCTCCACTGCGATGTTCTGTTCACACATGAATAGAACTATTATAGAACAGCCAATGTCCGCCGCAGGCGGCAATTATCGAGATGTCCTTGATATGTCACAAAACTACCTTCTCCCTAGTTCTTTTTAAGGCCTTTTCATGGACACAACAGAACATTTTCAACGCGTCTTGCGCATATTAAATCGCTGTAAAAAACATTTTCGATGTACTTTTCTGAAGCCTTTTGTCAAAATGAACTTTTGCATCAGGATTCCATTTCCCTTGAATGGAAAAATGCATTAAAAATAGGTTGAACATAAAAATATTTTCTTGATATGAAATTACCTTCTTAATCGGTTTCTGAGTAGTGCTTACTACACACAGACATATAATTGGAAATAGGTTTCCCAATTTTTGAAATGTTCTCCACAATGCATAATTATGCAACTCCGGAAAAGCTGTGTATTGATGAATTTGTACTTTTATATATTGATTACACTGAGGCACCGAACAACACATCTTGCATCTGATGGTCATTATTACAAACTAAATAAGTCTTCTAACACAATTAACTTCACCACCACCTTTCTGTTCGTTAGCAGCGTGATGTAAGCGTGACACGCTGCAAACGCGAATGCCAATTGCGAACAAGAAGAACAAAATCGAAAACAAATCAGAATTCATCGTATTGTGACATGAGACGTTGTGGTGGGGCAAACAAAGAAAGGGCACAAAAGAACAAAAACAATACTTTCAATATCCCTCTAAGACCTTTTTGGGAAGTGCATATTACGCCTCAAAAAACATCCTCATGCCTACATTTCTTAAACATCCCAAAACATCCAGGGATACTTCTCAGTAGGCAAACAAAGAAATGCCACAGAGGAACAAAAACAATACTTCAATATCCTTCAAAGACCTCTTTGGTCAGTGCATATTACGTCTCAAAATAACATCTTCATGCCAACATTTTCAAAACATCCCAGGGATGTTTGTGCTCGCTGGGTTTATTTATATGAACTTCGAAACTTGGGAGCTGGAAGTCATACTCGAAGTCCATAATATCCTTCCTTCCTTTGGACCCAATGTTATGAACTTCCACAGATGCATCCTGAAAATAGATTACTAGCTGATTTTTTATTTCAAAGAGGTGCAAACATTTTTTTTTTTCATCAATAATCAGTTGATGTTGATGTTGAGTTCTCTTATTTTCCTTCAAGGATCAGTATTTTTTGGTAACAAATGCTTAGGAAATGGAAATATACTGGGTACAGCATCTGGTTCCAATAACCTAGCAGTACCTGATATGTCTAAATAAATAATCAGTTGGCGAGAAATGCTCTCCACAAAGCTTTGCTGGTTTTAGATGGAGTCCAACTCTCTCTAGGAACTGCCTTGATCCATATAATTCAAGAATGTCTGAATGGAAATGGAATAGGTATAGTTTTTGAATATATTCTGAGACTGGAAACATTGAACACCTAACTGATGATCATTTCTAGAACTATATTTTCCAAAAATCTGAACAATATCCAACTTACCCATGGAATGACAATTTCCTTTTGTCTTGCTCGTTCTTGCATCCAAAGGCTACACAATAAATCACCTTGTTTATCAAAACCTTCTCAACAATCAGTGCATAGTGTTCAACCAACAAATTCAGTCCTTCTTATAAAACAAAACACTCCAAATGAATAGGTATTTCACATAAACAAAGAAAATGAACTTATGTCTTCACTTTCTTGCCTGTTTAGATGAGAGAAAAAAATCTAAAGTACTTCAATTATTAGATAAAAGAAAACGTAAACACCAATCCACCATTAAACAAAACGAGGAGGAAAGAGACAGGTTACCGTAAATTATGTTATCTTTGTTGCAGCTGCCCCTGACACACTTTGTGCTATTTCAGTTGTTTATATTGAGTTCAGTGATTTATATATCGGGTGGTCACAAAAAAACCGGAAGTTTTTATTTTCCTCGTGGTTTCATCACTTCTCAACCGAATTCGAATTTCTTGGCGTCGTTTCATAGCTGAAGGCTATAGTATTCAGTGGAATATTTGAAAATTCCATAATGAACAAAAACAAAATGGCGGATTCTACCAGAGTATTGTCATTTACAAAAACCGCTGGAGAAAAGAAAAATCAGATTTTTTTCCAACCTGTACCGATGTCATCTTGGGCTATTTATTTCTGAAGAGAATGAGTACTCGAACATCGAACAAATAGTCTAGTCTTTGCAATTTGTTATGGAGTGAATGTGCTTGCTTCAGGCTTCATGAAAATTCAATCGAATTTGGATTTCTTGGAGTTATTCCAAAGATAAAGAACTGTAGTACATAATGGAACATTTGAAAATCCAATAATTGAAAGAAAAAAAATGGTGGAGAATCAAGAATTTTTGTGATTTTCAAAAATCTCTGGCGAATATTGAAATGTTTATTCTTCCAATCAGGACCAAGACAATTTTAGATCATCGATTTCTGAAAAGAATGAGCACTCGAACATCTGAATCAAACAATTAGTCCAGGAGAAACACGTTGTTTTTGGCAAATTGTTATGAGGTAAAATCCAAATTCGATCGAATTCTGATGAAGCCAGAAGCAAACTAAAAGTGATTCTTAGTACGGGATTGGCACATTCACTCCATAACACTTTGCCAAAAAGAACGTGTTTCTCCTGGACTAATTGTTCGATTCAGATGTTCGAGTGCTCATTCTTTCAGGAATCAATGATCTAAAATTGTATCGGTCCTGATTGGAAGAATAAACATTTTTTAATTCGTCAGAGATTTTTGAAAATCACAAAAATTCTGGATTCTCCACCATTTTGTTTCTTTCAATTATTAGATTTTCAAATGTTCCATTGTGTACTACAGTTCTTTATCTTTGAAATTACTCTAAGAAATTCAAATTCAATTGAATTTTCATGAAGCCTGAAGCAAAATAATAATAATCGTTTTTACGAGATTCGCACATTCACTCCATAACAAATTGCAAAGAAATGAGTGTATCTACTGGACTATTTGTTCGATTTCGATGTTCGAGTACTCATTCTCTTCAGAAATGGTGAAAATCTTTATTTCTTTTTCTCCAGCGGTTTTTGTAAATGATAATACTTTGGTAGAATCCGCCATTTTGTTTTTGATCATTATGGAATTTTCGAATATTCCACTGTATACTATAGCCCTTTAGCTATGAAACAACGCCAAGAAATTCGAATTCGGTTGAGAAATGATGAAACCACGAGGAAAATAAAAACTTCCGGTTTTTTTGTGACCATACGATACATCGTACAAGGTATTCCGCTTAAATGTCTCACCCTTATTATCCTCGTGATTCTCGACATATTTTGGTCATTCAAAAACTTTTTTGGGATGATTTTCTACGAATTTTCAGGATCTGTCCTCGCCCTTTTCTTCATATAAACAAAAAACTCTTTGAGAAAGCATCGTGAAGAAGGCGACTTGATATTTATAGATAAAATAGTCAACAATTTAATAGATTCGTCATCTCTACTTTCCTTTCTCAACTTCTACAGTGTGACCCATTTAAGATGGAAGCACCCTTATAAAACTTACATTTTTCAACCGATTGGAATGATTTTTTTTTGTTAGGTAGATATTCAAAAAGTCTATTAGGACACCAAATATCATGAATAAATCTCCATTTCCAGGGCCAACTAATCTGATTTTTCAAGGTCAAAAGTCTAAAAAAATTACTAGCGATTTTTTTAGAAAAAATCTGACTACACCACTGGATTTGTGACATTTTCGAATGGGTAACATGTAAATTACGTTGAAATGCGTCAATCAATAAAAAAGTTATAAAGGAATGAAATTTGAAAAATATGCCGTTTAATCAACCCATAAATTTTTATTACTGAACAGATTTCGATGAAACTGTGATCAGTAATATTTCAAGACATCCTGAATCCAGTGGAGTATACAGAATTTTCATAAAATTCCTGAACATGAATTGGTGGGTTGATTAAACGGCATATTGTTCAAATTTCATTCCTTTATAACTTTTTTATTGATTGACTCATTTCAACGTAATTTACATGTTACCCTTTTGAAAATGTCACAAATCCAGTGGTGTAGTCAGATTTTTTCTAAAAAAATCACTAGTAATTTTTTTAGATTTTTGACCTTGAAAAATCAGATTAGTTGGCCCTGGAAATGGAGATTTATTCATGATATTTGGTGTCCTAATGAACTTTTTGAATATCTACCTAAGAAAAAAAAATCATTTCAATCGGTTGAAAAATGTAAGTTTTATAAGGGTGCTTCCATCTTAAATGGGTCACACTGTATGTTCCACGTGTGGCAACTAGATCCCAACTGCTGAATCACTAATTAGGGACGTCACAGTGACGTGATTATTCGTCATCTGGTTGCCTGGGCTGAAATCCCCCCCCTAATCATTGTAATAATAACACGAAGTTATTCAAATTCCATCAAATTCCCCATCAGGTGATGAACAAATACAAATTCGACGCCTTCTTCCTGGACATGGGCACCGCCTACGACCTACCCCACTACTACCACTGCGACCGCCCCCTCGCCAACCCCGACCAATACAAGGTGACATTCACCAACAGCCTACTAGGATCGGTGCCTGTGTTCGGCATCAGCAGTGCCGTGTTGCGCCCGAGACCGCCCACTTTCGTGTTTCTGCCGCCCTTCGAATCCTCGTGGGCGGGGCTAAGAGGGGTGGTACCCACGCTGTTGACGTACGGGGTGTTGGGGTATCCGTTTCTGATACCCGGAGCTGTGGGAGGTGAGTAGTGATAGCAACAATAGGCGCGCGTAGTAAAATTTACGAAAAACGCGCACGGCCTTCAGATAGGCAGAATAAAAAATGTTTATAGAGGGTGCGCAAAAAAGGGATGATTCTGCATGAGAAAACATAAAATTTATTTTTTCTACTCACATAACTAAAATGGCATTTAGCGTACGGATATGTACCACGCTAAATGATCGATTAATCACGGATTGTCGATCTGTGATTTATTCAGAATATTGAACACGTTACCGTGGCAACACGATTCATTAAATACAGCTTCAGCTACAAATATCCACTTTTGCTTCAGCTTTCAGCATGTCATGTCTGGCCTGTCAATTGTATTAACTGTCAACTGTTATTTTTGAATTTTGTATCAGAATTATTCCATTTGAAATATATGCGAAATGTAGACGAAAGTGAAATCGAAGAGAATGTTCTGAAATTCAACAGTGGTGAACTATATTGAGGTCTAATTGATCGGTAAGGAAAATGCTCGGGAAAATGTCAGAATTTTTTAGTTTGTTGATTTCTAATGATTCAAAATGATTTGTTAGTAGCTAGGTAATGATATGTATGGTACTTGCATATCTCCAAGAAGTGTAAAAATGAAGCATCCATCTTTGACAACAATTTATTTATTCTGCGCTGAGCATGACAATAAACCTGCAGCTCGGTTTCGAGCTGTTGGTTCTCATCAGTACAGGGCTGTCCCAGATAGCTTCTTGACCGCTATCTGGTGCGAACCTGACCCAACGTAAACGCATCTCAGTATTTATACCATACGGTCTGCAGCGTTCTTGAACCACTTAAGCGCAGCTCAACGTTTAGGAAGGAAACACTCGCGATTTTATTCGTCTATACGAACTATTGCATAGATTTCGGGAGGAAGTAATCCAATGTTCTGCGTGGCATATAGCCAGGAAAGTAGTTGTTTTTTTCTCGTTATCTACCATTTTTATTCATTTAATGAACTAGTGTGGTAATGACTTCAAGTTTCTCTCTCTTTGTGGAAGTGAATTGTTTTATCAGGATCAAAAGTGGCACTTTGTTTGACAAGCGAATTTTGCATTTGCGAGGCGAAGCGTATAGCGAAGCCAGGCGAGAACAAAATTCGCGAGTCAAACAACCCTAATAACACAATAACATCTGTGAGACGTCGTGGAAACATCCATATGGGATGATAGGAACATCTCTGGAAAATTCCTATTTTCCTTGGGACATTCTTGGGATGTTGCTGGCAACACCCTTGTCAGCATTTGCGATGTCTTATAAACATTCCATCAGAATGTTTGTGAGATGATACGGGATGTACCAGAGACATTCAGGGTACTGGATATGGAACATCTTAAAGAAACTTCTAGGATGTTTTTTGTTTGATGACAGTAATAGATGACACGGTATGAATTATTTCCAATCTGAAATCCTGAAAATGGACGACCTATTTCCAGATATAAAGTAACAATCCGAATCCGAAAATATAACGTCGGTGCGGTCCAATAACTAATGGAAGATGATAACAGTTGTTTGAGGCTCATATTTGTTGGCGCTGGGCCGACGGCTGTTAGTAACTCTTAGCAACGTAGTTGTACCGCCATCTATCGGCGGGTATAACAAATAAATTCAGCAATAATTATGCTGGAGAGATATATTTCAATTTTGTCGTTTATTACATGGTTCATGATGTTAAACAGGTACTTTGGTAATCCTATTGAGGAATATTTAGTATAATTATTTCAATTTCTTATCGATGAACTTAGCCGGCTTTGGTATAGGTATAAAGTATATGAGTACGAATACAGTTTTGATTTCCATTTTTTACCAACTCTTCAATGTTTCAAATGTCACAATTGTTTGAACTATTCAATATCATGTCAATCATCATTAGTCAATATGAAATCATGATATTGTTCATAAAAAAAGATCAAATGGGATTTTTCTTGAACATCCAATGAAAACATCTGATGGATGTCCCAAGAGAAACATCTCTGGGATATCGTACCTAAGTATGAAACGTTGGGACATTAGCGGGATGTACCAGCAAGATCTCGTGTTGTTAGGGAAGGGAAAGTCACTTTCGATCCGAATGGAACATGCTATTTTTTCTGCAATCGAATCAACTGAAATGAATATGTGAAGAAATCACCAATGCCGTGCCATAATGCAACGAATAATCCGTGTGGTGAGAATATTCTACCAGCATTACCGGCAGGTTTATCCAATTTTCAAGAATGTTCGAATTGTAGTTTCAAAATGATCACAACCTCCGAGTGGCAACTTTGTGTATGGACCAGTTGCTCTGATGGCAAATACCGCGCCAGTGCCAGGTATAGGAACAAGACTTGGAAAATGTTAGGTTAGTGAGCATATTAACAATAATAATAGCGATTTTTCAATTTTCCTCATACTACACTGTGTTTGACTTGATAATCAAATGGAGGTTGATAATTTCGTTGTTTGAGACAAAAAGCTATTGCTTGCAGTGATTATTCAAAAACAAGTTTTCCATCCCGCGAATAACGAATGCAATACAGATCAAGCAAGTATGTGAATCTTGAAGGTTTCCTATACTCAACTTTAATGAGGTGTGTTTATATATGCAGTATGGGTACATGACATTCCAAAACTGCCGATATCGGAAACAAATCATGTATGCGTCCCAACCCAAATAACCAACTGTAACAATGTTGTTTATTACCTACTAGGAAAAAAGCCAATGTTGTTTATTCTTGATGACGTCTAGTACATCCTTTCCAGTACCTGGGACCTAAAGTTCAACTCCAGCTCCTAGGAACCAAAGTTCAACTTTAGCTCCTAGAAACTAAATATGTTGCCTAGCAGCATACCTATTTTTGTGTCAGTAATAGAAACGTCAAATCAAGGGCTGATTTTGGTATCAAAATGGACGACTTTGTGTCGGTTGCAGAAAAAAAATTATATCTGTATCAAGGTTTTTTCATTGCAAGTTGCGAACAAGATTTCTTCACAAACGTCAAAAAATATCATTCTAAAATAAGTAATATGCTGGGCTGAATATAAGAAAAGTGTTGAGATTGCTTAGTAAAAATGAGCCTTCATTATTTTTGAACGTTTATAAATAATGATATCTTGCAACCTCATTTAGTTTTACATGCAGTGTCCGAAGTATGTATTTCGCACACTATTTTACTACGCGCACTGCTTCACGCCCAATGTCAAGGTAACGTAGGAAATTGAAAAAGAGTGGCACTATCCATATTGGTATCATTGTTCGACGTTTGCTGAAAAAATGTTTCTTCTCAGTTTCAGGAAAAAAAATGATATGACTAGATAGACAATTCTATCTGATATGAACATCACTGTAAAACCAAAAAATTCTGATCAAATTTGAATCATTTCAATTGGCAACAACCGATTTCCAATTCAGATGCTGAATGTCCGTTCCATTAGTTATTGAATTACCTACTTCCAAACTTTCATGTTCGAAGATTTTTACAACCTCGTATAGTTTGAGCTGTAGTTATGGGTCAAAATATAAGGAGACACCATAAATATACCAAAACAAGTTTTTTACTGAATTTATATTATTCCTGCTTCTTTGAATGTTCCGATTCTTCTATTTGTGACCACTCAAAAATGTGAATTATCACCATAACTTCATATTGCTGTTGGATGCTCTCGAAAATACCCTGAAAATTTCAAACTCCATCAAACTTACACGAAAAAAAAAAAAGGAATTGTTGAATCAAGCAAAATTTAATTGAATGAAGCAAATAGAAGTGTCATATATGCACGACTAAATATAATCTTGAAATGAGCAAATCTATATCTTGTTTCAGAGCGAATTCGAAGTTTGAATTGAGTAAATATGTCTTGAATGAACTCTGGATCTCATTCAATATATTGAATTGGCTCAAACAATCATTTTATTCCATTCAAAATGACACGATATTGATTCAATCAAATATTTAGTTGATTCAATGAAATATTTGGATGATTTCAAAGAAATATTTGGTTGATTCAATGAATTATTTGATGATTCAATAAAATATTTGGTTAATTTAATAGAATACTTGGTTAATTCAATGAAATATCTTGTTGATCCAATGAAATATTTTGTTGATTCAAGAGAAACTGTATTTTCATTCGACAAATTGTTTTGTTGAATCAAATTCAGTATTAATTCGGGAATTCTCTGTAATTTCACATCTAAAGAATAAACTTAACTAGGAATCTAGTAGACTTCAAGCATAGATCTCCAGTCCCTACTTCCCTTCAGCTGATGCAAAACTATTTCGGATTGTTAATCATCCTGAGTTCGATTTATCCAGCTCATATTTCAAAGACGAAGAATCCGGCCTCACGTATATAATGAATAACTTGATGTAGAATGAACAAAATATTTCATTGATATCACATATTTCGTTGCTCTATTCACGCAAATGATCCGTTCGAAACGAGTTCATCGCTACATCGGAATAAGAAAACTTGTATGTTGTTTCAAAGATATATTCTCATTAAAATGATCATTATCTCATCAAATCAACAAAATGTTTATAGTTGAATCAACATCGACATTGTTTTGGATCGACACAATTTGTTCTTGAGAAAACCATATATTTTGTTGATGGAATTGATATTATTCAATTAGACTACATTCTTGATTTGAACGAGCTGCTTCCATGAAATAGTAATGTATCTGGTTGCTTCAACAAAAAATTGCTCATTCCAACAAAACTGATTCAAGCATAAATATTGATGATGATGATGATGCAACCAATCCTATTTTTCCGTGTAATACCTTGATGAAAATTATCTCTCATCTAGGTGATTACGATGCCCCTCAGCTAATTCCGAAGAAGAACGGAACGGAAAGGAGTTTGCCGGACGAGGAGCTCTACATTCGCTGGTTGCAACTAGCTGCCTTCCTGCCTGTCGTCAGGTACCACCACTTGCCAAGCAGCTATGGGAATCAGAACATCTCGGAGATAGCCAAAAGCTTGGCGTTGACTAGACAGAATAAGGTGGGTCAAAAGAGTTTTGATATATGAGGATTTATGAGAATTTATGAGGATTGATGACAATTTATGAGAATTTACGATCATGTATGAGAATTTATAAGAAATTTTGGTAATCCTCAAGATTCATTTGATCTATGGTCATTAGTAAGTTGAAACACTACCGTTTTTTGAGATGATGGAAGGATTCATCAATTTGCTCCATATTTTAGTAGATATATATTAAGAATCCTGTTACAGGTCCCAGGGTCTTAATTGATATCAATTGAAGTTAATTGATGACCGGGCAAAGTTCATCAGACTAATTCATATTAATTAACGTAATGATGGATGGCAAAGAATGGAATATTCTCTATTGAGACAAATTACCCCAGTATGCTCGAGAATATAGCAGAATGTTTGAGAATTGATGAAGATTCATTTGAATTCATGAGGATTCATGAGAATTCATGAAAATAAATGGAGAGTTTACGAGATTGTTCGAGAATTTATTAGAAATCCTAATAGTCTTCGAGAACATTTGAAAATTCATGATAACTCATGGGTTGATGAGATTCTACTGGAATTTATAAGGATCAACAACAAAAATTCATGCCGTTATTATGAATTAATACAATCAAAGTCAATGAGAATCTGGAAGAATCATTAGGACTTCATATTATGAACCAGGTCTTTCTCAAAAGTAGCTCACCCCTATACCTTCCTTGTTTCTAAAAATAAACAAATCAAATTCGGTATGTGTGGATAGTACATAAATATTCAGTATTTGACGTATTCAATTGTTTACTGTCTCTTCCGGTTTAACTGGTAATGACCCATATTTTCTTATTTCAAAGGGGACACCCGGTATATTTTGACATAGATCGATAGATTATAACATTGTGAGTACAATGACATTCCATTCGCCACTTCTTGAAATTCACCATCCTGAAACTTGAATTTTTCAAATTCAAACCAAAGTGATAATGATGATGGAGATTGATTCAAAATATCGATTATGTCGTATCAACGTTTTCGTAAAAAAATACTCATTTCAGATATAAGCTACCCTTGGTTTATTCGAAAAAATTCAGTTGACATCATTATTACGATATTGTAAATTTTGAATTGACCTGTGAAACAACTGAAAAGTAAAACTTCATCGAAACTATTCTTCCTAAAGTAAAAAAGTCGAGGAAGCTCCGAGAGACGATAATGAATAAATAAATAAATAAACAAATGAATAATTGAATAAAATAAGATATTTTGGGTCATTACCGATCAAACCGGAAGTGGCAGAAAACAATTGAATACGCCAAATAATGTTTTTATCCGTAAATAGGAAGATGTTATAGGAGCGAGCCACTTTTGGGGAACACCCGGTATAGTATGTACATGATCAGTTGCGACTAGGGCTTCGCAAAACCAAGACCAAAACTGATCAGTCTTGGTCTTGGTCTCGAAAAATAAATGTAGTCTTGGTCTTGGTCTTGATAGTCTTGGTCTTGGATCAAAATGCGTCTAGAAATTTGATTTATTCAATTCAAATATCCAACAGTATACAGTGTGGTCATTTAAGTGTGCAACATATAGGAATCTTTTTAATGAATTGCACAACCAAAATACCGATAGTGCCAAAGGTTGGTGCATGGATGGTAATCATTTTAGGTGCACTTAGAATGGTTGCAAGTCACACAGCATACAGGGTAGGTCAAAAAATATAAAAATTGCTCAAGAGTAAAAGTACCCTTATTTAAAAAAATTCAGCAAAATGTCATTGAGAAAAGTGTTTACAATCGAAAGTTAAGCCTGAAAACCAAAACATGGCCTCCTAACACATGTTTCAGTTTTTTGATTCTGTTCGTGAATAATTTCCCAATTTGTAATTTTTTTCATATTCACTCTGAATACTTTCATAAGTTAATCATAACAAAATCAGTTGAGCATACATTTGTTCAAATTCAAGCATATTTCTGCAATTAACTTGGATTTTAATTTTTTTTAGGGAATCACAAACTTTATGTTTGTTGCAACTATATTCAGCTCAACTTTAAAATTTCGCAAACCATATTTTTAACAAGGTTAAACATCATCAATGATAAGATGCATATTCAAAAACTCCCATCTAATGTGAACATTTCGTATTTAAAATATTACAAATTGGGAAATTATTAACGATTATAATTGAAAAACTAAAAAATGTCTTAGGTGGTCATGTTTTGGTATTAAGGCATAACTTTCAATTGTAAACAACTTTTCTCAATAACATTTTGCTGAATTCTCTGAAATAAGGGTACTTTACTCTTGAGCAATTTTTATATATTTCGACCTACCCTGTATGCTGTTTGACTTGCAGCTATTCTGAGTGCACCCAAAATGATCAGAGAACATGCACCAACTTTCGGCATTATATATATTTTGGTTGTGCAATTCATTAAAAAGATTCCCATATGTTGCACACTTAAATGATCACACTGTATATGCATATTATAGGTATTTCGTATTTCTCAGTATTTGAAATTGTCGATTTGTGCGTATATAGTAAGCGAACTTGATTTCTCTTTTCATCATAGGAATATAATTCTTATACAGGCCGACGCCCGACAGACCAGAAAGAAGGTTCAAAAAGGTGGGAACTGACAAAAACGCGTTATCAAAATATTTCGAAAAATTCCAAATTCAAACCAAATAACTTTTGTATTGAATTTGTTTATTTCTTCAATAGGAGGAGGTATGGACCACTGTGACCTTACAACATACACCTATTTGTTGTACACTTCAAAACTACAATACTGAATTTGGAAAACGTATTTCGGATTTGGGGAAACAAAAATCATGAACCCACTCTATGGAAATGAACAACTGAAATAAAATGCCATGACATTTTCCATCAGATTTTTCTCAATACAATATTGAGTTGATTCAAATTCATTATTTTGTCTTCGAGACCAAGACTGCATTTTTGGTCTCGCGAAGCCCTAGTTGAAACACTTTCGTTTGTTGAGGTGATACAAAATGCCATTAATTCGTTCAAAAGCCTCAAATTACTATAGGTCATTGCGATATTCATTTTATTTTCAGGTGACTCCTAAATTGAAAAAGTTCGCGAGAGTTTCGCTGAACATCGGCCTTCCTCTGATCAGGCCCTTGTGGATGCTGGACTCCGAAGATCCGAATTGTCATCAAGTTTCTGATGAATTTTCTATCGGGGACGATATAATCGTAGCTCCCATAATAGATTCCGGCCGGAGGCAAAGGGAGGTAAGAAAATTCAACTGTGGACCAAATTTCGATTCCTTCAGACAGTAAAAGATTTTTTCTCCGATTGGCAGCAAATATTAATTTTGCTGACACATATCAATCAGCAAAGTATTACTTTTCCTGCCTAAGCAGCAAAGTGGTTATACTTTGCTGATTGATATGTATCAGCAAAATTAATAATCCATAAATCTTTTATAATTTCCTTCATATTTCATCCGAGACATCTCCGTCAACAATTTCAACTCTATATTTTTGCCACCTCCCTGAGTTCTGGAGGTGTAAGTACTTCCAGGTCGCTATCACTGTCCATTATATAATAATTCAAAAAATCCGATATTTTTTCGCACAACTGTCAGAAATTTCATGAATTGTCAAACTATAATTATTATTATGGACATTTCCATAGCAACCAACCATTCCAACAACTTCTATCAAATTTTATTTTAATTGAACACTACAGGAAAAATAAAGAGACATATTATATCATTATGAACAATCGGAGAAAACATTATATGTTCAACTCGGCAGCAAAGTAGTAGATTGACTGCCGAGGCTGAATTCATAGCCGAGCGTAGCGAGGCTAGGAATCCAGCTAAGTTGAACAAATAACTATTTTCTATGGATTTTGTTTAAGTGTATTCGATAACCCATGAATGAGGTATAATGTGTGGCAATGTTTTCGAATCTGATATCACAATGATACAGAATCTTATCTCCCATCATGAAATGTTAAATTTCAACCAATGACAGCTATGTCTAATGGATGAGCATTACTTGAGGAAGAATCAAATAGCTACAGGCCGAGGAAATGAAAAATGTCGCTGTTATCTGTAAAGAGTATACAGGGTATATCACGACGAGTTCACACTATCTCTATATCGAGAATCAGTAGGGAGAAATCCATGAACATGTGCATGGCTATATTTCAGAATACGCTTTCTTCTTTCGAAATATTTTCAGCAAAACAGTATTACCGCTTCCATGAAGAAGTAGCAACAACTTTGTTGATTCAAATAGATTACCCTGTAATTGATTGCATTTTTCGATTCTTCCTGAAGAATTTATTTCATCGATATATCACACTTGTGGTCTATCGGAAATGATTACGGAGATATAGGGTGTTCAAAATTGAGATTTTTCAACTTCAGGATCTGTTTGTGTCGAAACTTTTGATTAACTATTCACTGATATTCAATCGGGATAAATACAGGGTGATCAGAATTCTGAATATTGCACCACCCCTAATATCAACAAACCAGAGGTCGTGGGGATGAAAAAAAGACTTGTTCTCTATCATCTGTTGATGATGTAGGTTTGTTTTCGAGTGATTATTTGACTCCACCGTTTTTTTGTTTTTTTCTAAAAATGAGTTTTGCCATTGAATATTGATCATGTACGTCCTTTTAGGGGCACAGGACCCCCCATTACAATAAACCTGACCCTTAACCGGTGCTTTGCACAATAATTTAATTCTCCATATCAACGATTTGTTGAAAGCAACTTCATGTCCAGTACACAGCTTCGCGGATGATAATACCCTCCATACCGCCTTCTCTTCCAGGCGTCCAATACCAGCCAGGCAAATCAGAAACGAACGAAGAAGAAATGTTGACAACATAAATGTGGATTTGGCAACAATTCTCGAGTGGGGATCCAATAACTTGGTAGCTATCAATTCAAACAAAATACAAGCATGCCTTTTCTCTAGAAATTTCGATCTCACTGTGCCCAACATAATCTTGTCAGGAGTAACCATACCTTTGAACACATCCATTTCAATGTTTGCTATTACCATATATCAGCAATAACTTTTCTTGGGAAAAACCACGTGAGATCAATTGCTGAAAGTGCATCCCAAAAACTTTTTTTCCTGTTTCGGGCCAGGAGCTATTTCACTTGCAGTCAGCTGCTTATGATCTATAAGGCACATATCTGACCTGTCCTGGAAAACTGATCCCATATTTGGAGTGCTGCACCCACACATACCCTAAAACTGTTGGATTCTGTCCAAAAAAGGGCAATTCGTCTCGTGGGTGATGCCTCGCTCACAAACTCACTCACTTCTCTGGAACACTGTAGAAAAGTTGGCGATCTGGCTTTATTTTATAGATATTTTCATAGACGATGCTCCTCTGAAATATCAACAATTGTTCCTTCCTTGGCAGTCCCCGCGAGATTAACCCGTTGAGTTGAGGCTTCGCACCCCTTTGAGGTCACTTTGGAGATCTCTTTCCAAAGACTCGTTTATCCAACGAACAGCAAGACTCTGGAACACATTGTCAAGGGAAATGTTTCTCGAGGCGTATAATCTCCAGAAATCAAGAAGAACACCAATTCCTACCTAATTTCCTTTGATTCTCACGATGTTCTCTGAACATACAGGATATCTCTTTTCGTGGGAATCAGAACATAAAAAAAAATTTCTTTCATTCCCACGACCTCTGGTTTGTGAGGATTGAGGCTGATGATGGACACATGACTGTCCGAAACATGTTCCCCTAAATAATCTTTCGATTATTAAACTTTGTGGAGATGGTTTGGTATTCTTTAACCCTTTCATATTATTTATTGGTATTGTTTTTGCCATTTGAACGTGTGCAACAACAAAATACCTGTTACCGAAGCCAAACACCAACAAATATGGCGACTGAGATACTAGCGTTTGTCGAATGCAAGTTTGCGACTGCGCGTAGGCATTTCCTAAAATGGCGAGTCTGGATCGGCTATATCAAAATTTATAATCAAATATGTGTTGCATCTCAAAAGTTCTAGCTACATTGTTTGTTGTTAGTTTATGTTATTCACAAACTCAATGAAGTATATCAACTTCGATGCAACTTTACAATTGGAAATTCTCTAATAGTTCTATATGTAATGTTGCACTGATATTGTTCGTAGTTTTTCCATGTAATGTTGCTATTTCAATCAATATAGTTGACGCAATATTGCCATTTAAACCAAAATGGGAGGGTCCTTTTGTAACTTACAAACAATTTGTCAGTATAGGTTTTTCTGGTATATTGTGAACACGAATATAGCAGCAAAATTGGTACAATTGGAGAGTCTTAATATCTACATCGCGCGTAGTCTGCCTCCTTCCCAAATAATTACTTACCTTGTACCATGTGATCATAAGGAAGTAACTTTGTTGAAACTTTTGTGGACCAATTACAAAACAGGGTGCTCTACAAACTCGCATGCTGTATCAATGATCATTATTATTTTAGTAAAGGCCTTTTCGAGTCATGATTTTCATGTATTGTTTTTTCTGCCTTCAGGTGTACCTTCCAGCAGGAGTGTGGAAAGATGGCATTGATGGTGGTTTGAGAAAAGGAAGCAGATGGATCCATGATTATCGAGTAGAAGAACACCAAGTTGCTTATTTCGAACGTATGCCTGACAACACTAGATTTTAAGCATCACCTATCTATATATTTACATTCCTACGTACTTGTAAGCATCATCTCAAACTTTTTAGATAATCGTTTTATTTTTTTGATTGATTTCTCCTCGAACCATTTTATTAAACTATAGAAACTCATGACTTATTGTCGATTATTTATTCCCCGCTTGTATGAGGAAAGAATTATTGGAAAAATAATTCGTTTAGATTGTTTTTTCACTCCGATGATTTGGTCGGAACACCAGATTCAACGTAGTTGGCGTGTCGACAAACTGATCCCACATTTTCAGGATTCTGATGTCAGAGAAGAACATAAAAATTGAAGAAGAGCCCTAATTAACTGCATCTATTATATAGAATGTCATACCACTACTTGGGCCAGAGTAAGGCGTTATGTAGGGCTAAAATTCGAAATCTCTGGTACTGATATACGCTTCAACAGGAAGATCAAATTACTAAGGTGGGCAGACATACTGAATTTCATCAGAAATCCACGGAGGTTCGAGAAGGAGAATAAGGAAAAGGAATAGTATATATTATGTGATTGTGGGTAGAATATATAGCCTTAGAATCTGCCTTTCAGAGAGCGCGAAATATTTGAAATACCGTCGCATTGTTGATAATATGATTTTTATCTCAAATTAAAAGTCGTACTCATTAAAAAACAAAATATCAAATGTTCATTATAATATAAGTATAATTTGAATACCCAACATACCCAACAATACTGAGTATTCCGTCATTTCAGAAAACATACATGCTTGAGTTTTGTTGGCGTGAAATTCAATTGGACATCCATTGTATGCCTGCAATAGGGAGAGAATATACTTCATTATCATAAGAAATTAAATTCTTGTTGACAAAGTTTGCTTAAGTTAAAAAAAATATATCAAGGTACCTAAGTCTAATGCATACTGGTCGATAATTAAAAAAAAATAATAATAAAAATGTGATGTATAATACCTACTAAAATAGTATATGTCAATTTCATACCAGTTAGTATGTAAAATAAATGTAAAAAAAAACGAATCGCAATACATATTAAATATACAAACCAACAACAAACAGAATTTGTATATATAAAAACAGATAACAAGTAAATAGGAAATCACAAAAGTGTTAAAATGTGTCAGAGTAAAATTCCTGTAAATTATAATGAGCTCTATGTAACACTAAGTTTTTTACAGATTTCCTAAAAATATTCATATTGGCAGTGTTTTTGAATCCTTAATCAGTGATGATTTAGGAAGTGGCAGACTTACGTTCATAGCTTGTCGAGTGACATAGTGTGAAGGAAGTTTGTTAAACGTGTTCAGATGTTTCCTTATCATACAAACGGTTTCTAATAAAAAAATTGCTATTATCGTGAGTATAAAGGCTTTCAGGAGTCACGAATTTTTGCTTTGCACATAAATCTTAGCCCTCTTTTTTGAAGAACAAGAATACTGCTCATGCAGTTAGCATTACATGCACCCCAGAATGGGATACCTGAGATGAGACTCAATCCGTGCAAAAAATAAGAATAATAGATTATTCATGAGACAAAGCCCCTGTGAAAGCACCTGATGCATCTAATGATTCCCTATCCTTATGGATGTCGCTGAACCTCATTCAGGGGATATACCGTATCTAAATAACACCGAAAAATTTCGAAGGATTACTTCCTTGTGACATTCTAGCAAATGAATTTCATATAATTATGTGTCCTACCTTGGTCCATTTTTGAGATACAGGATGTTGAAGTTGGAAGTAATAGTTGTTTTCATTTATAACCCCTCTGTATAAGCTTTCACACTGAGAGAAACTGATGGATATTACAAATATCTACCAGCTCTGATTGTGATAACCATTATGAAGACATCTCCTATTCCTGATCATTTAATTATTACAACAGTATTCTCTCCATTCTGTAGTTATTAAAATTTCTTGAACCATTCGTAATACCCTTGGATGGACATTTGCTACCATTATAACGCAGGTGTGTTATGACATTATGAGAATTTTATAAATTCTGGTCCATTAAGATTTTCTATTGACATATATCGTTTTGTGAATCATGCTCATTGGTGAATTCAGATGATTGTACCAATAATCATAGCTGTGTGGGTTTCTAGCATTCTACGTTGACGAATAACTATAGCAATTCACATGTATGACGGTTATTAGACTATCATTAGAACAATATTCTCACTTCTGTTCTCGGTCATGGGTGCCCTTGTTCAATGGTTTCGATCGCCCGAATCGATAGAGCCGTGTCTTGTGGGTGAAGGCATGGCCTACTCTATCTCTAGAGTCGGCCCTGGTGGAGGCCTGTGATGTAGCAAAATTTTGTTTTAGTGCTGGCTGTGAACCAAGCTGTGAAATACACCGTGCATTGCATTACTGCATTACGGCCTAGAATTGGTTTATTTCGAAGAACAAAATGATCGATGAGATTTTCGATTAAAATATCTGGGTTTCTGTTTTATTGACAATTCTCATTATAACTCCGTAGGAAGAGTAAATATAAGTATTCAACTTCTCATTTCTTAATAAATTCGTCAGTATGCATAAAGATGATATTTCTCCGAAAAAAACCAATGTCAAAAAAACTTCCAGAGAAACCCAGATATTTCAATCCAGAAACTAATCGTATTTTTTGTTGAAATGAAATGACAATTGAGCAATGAATAGGAAAAAGATTTTTCATGAAAGTATTATTACCCTGTATCTCGAAGACGAGGTGAGTTAGGACACATGTTTAAATGAACTTTTTTTCCAGATATATCACAAGGAATTACCCCTTGAATTTTCTCGGTGTTATTTAGATACACCCTGTAGACTAGTTCATACGAGGATGAGATGAGGAGCATCTGCTAGGAAAAAAAATTCAAGAACAAGAGAGGTAGAGATGGTTTTCATCCGTTTTAAGAGGTGTAAGGGATCTTCTGAATTATGATATTCCAACTATTGATGATTAGATTTAGATTCGATTCATCAAAGAGCCGACGGTATTAACACGTCACTAGAAAAAACCCAGTACGGTTCTGTTCAATTACCCAGTACGGCTCTGTTCAGCGAGAACGTTCAATAACCCACTCTCGATTTCCATCTCTCTTACTCCAAACATATACACGATTTCCTATCTCTTTCATGCCACGATCCCACAATAATTCATATGCATACAATACGACTTTTATTCTGGTGAATGGCAGTCGGGAAAAGAATTTATTAGTTATTTTATTAAAATTACCGCGCTGTTTCCACAAATGTTGAATTCAGTT